AATTAATCATTTAGTTACCGATTAATTAATGGTTAGTTAACGATTAATTAATGGTAAATTAACGATTAATTAATCATTTAGTTACCGATTAATTAATGGTTAGTTAACGATTAATTAAGGGTTGACTAACGACCGTCGTTTGCAGACGAGCGAGAAGCGAGTCGAGCAGCAGCAACAGTTCGTCGGGATCGCAGCCGCCGCGACAGCAGCGCCCCCGGGTGGACAGTTCGAGCTCGGAGTCGCCGCAGCATACGCGTAAGGTGACGCGGCGACGCAGGGAGTCGTCTAGTTCTGCGTCCGACTCGTCGCCAGCGAGGGACAAGAAGGTACAGGAAGGAAGCTGGGGTGTCTCTCTCTGTCTTTCGTTCTCTGTCTGTCCGTATCGCTCTCTCGCTCTGTCTGTTTATCTTTCTCTCTCTCTTTTCTGTTTGTCTTTCTCTGTCTTTCTCTCTCTCTCTCTCTCTGTTTGTCTTTCTCTCTGTCTCTCTCTCTCTCTCTCTCTCTCTCTCTCTCTCTCTTTCTCTCTCTCTCTCTTTCTCTGTCTCTCTCTGTCTTTGTTTTTTGTTTTTTTCTCTTTTTTTCTTTCTCACTCTCTTTCTCTCTGTTTTTCTCTCTGTCTCTCTTTCTTTTTTGCTCTCTTGCTCTGTCTCCCCCTCTGTCTCTCTGTCTTTCTCTGGACTTTCTTCACACACTTCAGCACACACACATACGACATCCCCCCCCCACCCACACACACACATCCCACCCCACACATCCCATTATGGCTTCTCTCTCTCTCTCCTCCGCGCAGCAGCAGCAAAGGAAGGAACCAGCCGCCGGCGTCCCGGCGAACCTCAACTCTGTACACACTCGCGCACGCGCTTTCACACTCGCCCCACATCATGGCTTCTCTCTCTCTCTCTCTCCCCTCCACGCAGCAGCAGCAGCAGCAGCAGAGGAAGGAACCAGCCACCGTCGTCCCGGCGAACCCCAACTCTGTACACACTCACGCACGCGCTTTCGCACTCGCCCCACATCATGGCTTCTCTCTCTCTCCTCCACGCAGCAGCAGCAGCAGAGGAAGGAACCAGCCACCGTCGTCCCGGCGAACCCCAACTCTGTACACACTCACGCACGCGCTTTCGCACTCGCCCCACATCATGGCTTCTCTCTCTCTCCTCCACGCAGCAGCAGCAGCAGAGGAAGGAACCAGCCACCGTCGTCCCGGCGAACCCCAACTCTGTACACACTCACGCACGCGCTTTCGCACTCGCCCCACATCATGGCTTCTCTCTCTCTCCTCCACACCGCAGCAGCAACAGAGGAAGGAA